GCCATATGCACCGCAATAGGGTTAATGTCCGGGGCTGGGGCAGCTACATCCCCCGCCCTCCTAGTGCCGCTGGGTAGCCGGGAAGGTCCCACCGATCGGCCGGAGAGATCCCAGGGTGGCCAGATGGGTTCACTAAGCAGCCAGAGGTGCGATGTCGCTGTCTGAGCTTGCATTCTGGCGAAGAAGCTATGTCGGGCCTTTCCATTCAGGACCGCCGTTCTTTCTCGCGCTGTGGGAGCCGGAAAGAGACAATCTTTGTGGGTCGTGGATTCCCTTTCCTCAATCTCCTCTGTGGACCCGGACCCATATTACTTTTGTTGGGGTTCGCGGACCTCTACCTCCACCCCCACCCCACCCCCAAGTGCTCTCCAGCTACGCGTCAGAGGTCCAAGTGCGAATACAGGTTCGCTTTTCTAGTCAAGATTTCAAAATATCATGCTTTAGAATACACTTTTAAAACACTATTCCGTCATATTTGTATACTTATCCAGGTATACTTTCAAAAGCTATCGATGCTCACTGCTCCTATTATCCGCTCATTTATCCCGTCGAAAATGCATTTATCTGTTTGTCTGTCTGTGGCGGGCGTGAATAAAATATCTGGCCTTTTTCACGCTTGTACAGTACATCACTAGTCCTGACACGTAACCTGCACAGCACGAGGCGGTACGAGACTCGTCACAAACAAGCCCGTAGTCATGTGATGGATATAACAGAGACGTGTCCTCCCGGGAACGCCGACCACGAACACGCACTGGAATTTACGTTTCTTTGAAATGCGGCGTTTGTATCCTCATTTCACCATAAAAGTATAGGAGTCTTTTGAAAAGCTATTGTTTGAATTCACTTACTTATATCTCAGAGTGATGTGCGGTGAGCAGACGGCGTGGCGAGCTTGCTGTACAAGGAGCTTCCTATGGAGAGGATTTGTGCGTAGCGTGTTCGGTTTGCTATTTCCACAGCGTTGTAAGAGCATGTTTAGCATTCGGAGCGGGATTTTGTGCTCATACTCGCTTCAACAGAAAGTGTGTACATGAGTTCGGCAATTTCGGACCTCCCTGAGATTGTAGGGAGCAGTCTCCCCCGTCCTGAAAGTTGCTGAGGGCGAGTTCCCCACATCCCTCACAGTGTCACCGTTCCCGTGGTAATTAGTTTGGTTTACGTGTACCGTTAGTATTGGTGGTTTGGTCCAATGGTACCGACTGCACAAATGTAAGAGGACGAGGGAAGAGTTGGTGCATACTGACGAAGGGAAAACGCTTCTGCGGCAAATTTTGCGGGCTATGTTGATAATCCTGACAACAAAACAATGGGTTCCACTCCAGTTTGTCCTCTGTGTTAACGCACGTGCTTACGTACGTCCTGCTTTACGCATCTTCCTTGCATCTCAGATTTGGAACGAAATTTACCGCCAACATCAGCGTGAAAAGGGCTTTTGAGGTCATCATTTACACCAAGATTCTCTGTGAAATTTGCATGCTGTGTATGCAGCCTTCGTGCTAAGCCTGGCACACAGAATAATCGAATATAATTTGCTGTCGTTTCCGGTTATGCGACGCGCCGCCGCTCCTCGTGACCGTGCGACCTCGCGCTCTATCGGTGTCACAATCTTAATCTCCAGTTGAGAATAGGATCAAGCTAGTTTTACATGTGTTCGACAGGCATTCTCGCGAGGATCTCAGCCAACACACAGCATTAATCTTCTGAAATGTCCGTCCGTCGGGCTCGCATATTTTCAGGTTTTCCAACCGGTCAAGACGAAATTCTTTCCAGTTACGTCACTAAATTCTGCATCGTGTCAAGAAAACGTGATGGGCAATCTGTGAGACTTCATAGCCCTTGTCCAGTTAACAGCCAGAAAGCTGGGGACGAACCATTCAATATTTTTCCACTGGCCTGCCGGCCTCGCGTCGACTGGCTGCCCACGAGGGCCATGGCGAGCCGGTGGGCGGAGTCAGCGCGTCCTCGGGCGATGATTGGCCAGTGGCCTGTGACGCACCGCCCCGCCGGCTGACCGGCCGACCGGGCCGAGCCGGGCTCGTGCGCTCGCCAGTCGGCGGCCGGTGTCAGGGTGTGTTGCGGAGCGCGGGTGCGCTGTGTGTCGGGTGGTGGGCGAGTGTCGCTACGGTGGACAGCGCTACTGGGCGCACGGCCGGCAACGCCGCCGGCCGGCCGCCGGAGCTGGCCGCCACGGCCACGGCCGACATGTCGGCATACGCCCAGTTCGGCTACCCGTACACGACGGCGACGGCCCAGGTGAGGCAAATGTCCGTCGCGCGGTGTCCCCGACGAGACAGCGGTCCGTCGCACGTTATCCCGGCGAGACGGCGGTCCGTCGCACGGTGTCCCCGACGAAACAGCGGCCCGTCGCACGTGTGCCCCCGACGAAATAGCGGTCCGTCGCACGGTGTCCCCGACGAAACAGCGGTCCGTCGCACGGTGTCCCCGATGAGAGAGCGGACGGTGGTACGGTGCCCCCGCGAGACAACAGTCCGTCACACCATGTTCCCGACGAGATAGCGGTCCGTCCTGCGGTGTCCCAGTGAGAGTCGTTTGTATAGCATGGTGCTGCGTGACACGAAAAGGTCCATTGGACCACTTGCCGTCGAACTAGGAAGACCCAAACATAAGCCCATAGTTCGTACTGATTTGGTGGTGGGTTCACTGTTGACGTAACAAACGATGCCTGAGGAGGCTACGAAGGTCTCTGAACAACTTATTTCCTTGATTTTTAAGTTATCTGATTAAATGCAATGCGTTCTCCGACTCCACACAAGGCAGTTGATCAAATGACTCATGCAGCCATCTTTATTTCAATAATTTTAAAAAAACCTGATTACCAACGCCTCACGACCAGACCATCAACCAAGAAAACCAGCGTGCGACAACGCCACCACGCTACCGGTTGCAACACGGCCAAGACACCACAGACGCACATCAGGGGAAGGAGGTACAGACGTTTGACATACTCTCACTCTCTCTTTCCTCTCTCTCTTCCTCTCTCTCTCTCTCTCTCCTCTCTCCTCTTCTCTCTCTCTCTCTCTCTCTCCTCTCTTCTCTCTCTCTCTCTCTCTCTCTCTCCTCTCCTCTCGCTCCCTCTTCACGAATGCGGCGTCGCCGGACGTTAGTGCGAACGTTGGTACACAGAGCGGCGCCGAATTTCAAAATGCTCACATCTCACCCAAGCGAACTGTAAGGAGACCTCAAAAACAAGACCAGACATACATAGTTTGGATCTTTAACTTCTTGCTCGTAAAGGGGACCCCACAAGGACCCCTATCGCCCTCCCCTCCCCTTCCAGACTATCTTCCTCGCACGCCGCGTAGTGCCGCTACCAGACAAACACCGTAGGAAACCAATCCTAGGTTAGCGGGGTACAACAATCCGGTCGAAAAGGGGGCATCCACACAGTTTAGTAGTATACAAAAGCCGCCAAATGACGTCAGTGTGGGCTTGGATTGAATCGGGGATAAAATGAATTAACATATTAATATCCTATTGTCGGGAGGCCGAATCCACAAGCAAGCCTTCATAACATTATACTTTTTTTAAGTAGCCAACAACGTGGACGCATAAACCAAGTACACTAAATTTGGCACTTTGTCAGATCAATGAAAAATCTGGGGAAATGAATTACTTGCTTAGAAACCTTGTGGCCTCTCCAGGCGGGAAACCTTTGTAACGTCCATATCGTAGCGTCCAGCGCTCGCACCATCCAAAATCGCAGTGCTTTCTCAGGAGCTGAGCTACGACCGCTGCCACACTTGAAACCCTTCTTGCGCTGGAAGATGATGCATTACAACTAAACAACGGCAGGCAGAAAAAAGTGGAGACTAAGTTTGAAATCATAAGCCTCCATAATCGAGCTGCAGAAAAATTAATTCCTGCTGCTAGCTTTCTGAAGGACAGAGGCCTATCGCCGGCCCGTTCAGCACACGCCCGCACCGACAAAGTTTCACAGCGCTTATCTTAGCTTTTTACAGTTACAGTGACTCAGGCTGAGGCCGCAGGGTGACGTCCAAGCGGGGGAGCCGCTTGATATTGGTTTATGTCAGAGCAGTGAGCGAACAGCCCGGCCACGACCAGACCAATACCTAGCACGACAACTGTACTGCACGACCAGGGCCGGAAGGCGGATGGCCGAAATACCAGGCCCACAGCTGGCTGCACGACCAAGGGTGAAGCGATGCCGAAATGCCAGGCCCACAGCTGTGCTTGCACGACCAAGGTTGAAGCGATGGCCGAAATGCCAGCCCACAGCTGTGCATGCACGACCAGGGTGAAGCGATGCCGAAATGCCAGCCCACAGCATGTTGCTGCAGACCAAGGTGAGCGATGGTCGAAATGCCAGCCCACAGCTGTGCTGCACGACCAAGGTGGAGCGATGACCGAAATGCCAGCCGACAGCTGTGCTGCACGACCAAGACGGAGCGAATGCCGCAGTACCAACCGCAACTGTACTACACGACCAAGATGGAGCGAACGCCGAAGTGCCAACCGATAACTATGCTACACAATCAATGCCATATCCCCCTGAAGCTCCGAAGGGGCCCACAACTGGCTGAACGCACGCATGTTTTCAACACAAACGCCAAAGCTAGATATCTGTGGGCCTCCAGGCAATCCGAAACGGCCGTAAGCGTTATTGTAGTGACCACGATCAAACACAAATAATTATTCGCTGATTACGAGAGTGCTGGTGAAAGATGTTTTAAGGCGCATTATGCTGTTTGGGGATCCCACAACTTTGCCGGGACCCTACATATCCGCTTGTCGGAGGCCTTTGATCGCAAACAGAACTTCCACGTTGCCCTTGATTCCTATGCATCTGCTCGGAGGCCCCATGCTGCTGCCGGGTTCCCACATGCTAATTTGCCGGGGAAAGCTCTCCTCGGATTCTCTCCACGCGGCCAAGAGGCTCTATACGCTGTTGTCGGGGCACTATTTATTTTACGTCGTTTGCTAACCTTCCGTAGTGCTCTCGGTTGCTCAGGGGCCCTTCATATTGGTCTTGGGTTCTCTCCACTTGCTTGGATAGCCTTACCGAGACAACCGATGTTCAGGGGCCTCTGCCTTGGTATAGGGCTTTTATTTGCGGAGGAGCCTACACTGTCGTCGGGGCCCCTATCTGTTCAGTTGTTCTGACACGCTTCGCCGCTCAGCGGCCGCCACATCGGTCTTAGGTACTTCGTATTTGCCGGAGGACACAAAGCTGTTGTTGGAAGTTTTAAGGTTTACCCAATAGGAGAGGGTAGGAAGAACTAGATTAGAGAGTTGTATCATACATTGTTGTTATCAGAGAATTATATCATATAATGTAAATGTTACTCAATCGTAGATAAATCTGGAGGCATTTATTGGTGTCTTCGTCTCACCAACCGTCGGTTAAATACTTGCACACCATAACTAATAAGAATAGTACTAAAATTCTTACATCTCCGGAGAGCTAAACGTTCCCTCCGCTGCATATGCGGCTAGACATGAAAGTCACCCTAGGGCAATTGCATCACGTGGTGGATGAAGTTATATTGGTGCTTGTTTTTAGCTTGAGGACGTTGCATCGCAAGCAAGCTGAATGCGTTACGATATGTAAACAAACTACGCTCGTCTGCTATATCAGATGTCACCGCGATTGCGACCTGAGAATTAAATGCATGCCCTTTTTATCGGTCAGCGTTCGCTTTAAAAATTGCTGCTGTCCCCCGCTTTCGGTTGATCAGATAAGAGTTATGAATCTGCATGGGTGGTGTAATGCCGATTTTGTTGACTTAATGAGGATAAGCCATGACAGTCATGTTAGCAATCATTGACAGCAGATGATCAATGACATCATTGTTGGTACATTGCATCGCTAATGTAGTGCGGCCCATAACAGCTGGCACAAATAGCTCACCCGACATCTTGGAAAATGACTCGCGCCAACCCGAAATCTGGAGCTATAAGCCACTATATGTTTTGTATTCGGAGATCACATCCCGGCTGGACCACCCGACACACAACGGCGAACTGCCGCACGCAACGCCGACAGGGAGACTCCCTCTACGCGCCCGAGCAGCACCTCTTATACCCCTTTTCAAGCCCACCCGCAAACACGATCGGCGTGCGAATCGCACGCGCCAACGCGTCCCACCTATCGCGTCCATGGGCGAACGCATCGCCCTGAGCCGTGACCGTTTCCCTACGTTAACACTGTCCTGTGGCGTGATCTATTGCTGCAGATTTTCAGCATACGCGGTACAAGTACTTTCCCACAACTCAGCATGGCATTCAGAATAGTCTGGCCATGCCGTGAGACCCTAAACACACATTTTAACAGACCGCCAGAGTTTTCAAGGTTGTTCAAATTGGGCTGTGCAGCACTGTGTTGTCACGCTCACCCCAAGATAGCTGACTCGTGCGGCCTGGCCGAGTAACAACGACAAGACAGAGCGCGCTGCTGCACGGTCGGCTGAGTAGCTCAAGACTGCCTTTTACGGGCCGCAAAGATCCAGAGGAGAGTGTCCTGACTCCAGCTGTACCTCATACAACCGAGACGCTCTCGATCGTTCAGGGACCTGCTACTTTGGTCTCCGTTTTGCTCGTTTGCTCGGAGGCTCCCGCGCTCTGGCGGTCGCAGTACATGCTGGCCTGCCGGGGGTCCTCTCAAGCGTTCAGGGGCCAACTGCACTGCGACCTAAGCTGTCGGTTCCTTCATGTTAACCCCGCCCCCGCTTAAACCCTACCATGTTAACCCCGTCAACCCCGTTAGGGAAAGAGTGGGGATACGACCCCACCCCCGGTTTTTGTGATGTCTCACGGCATACGCGTGTAAAAGCACCACAATTTTTGTCAGCATCTGGAACATTTAATTGCTCGTGTTGTGGCACCACAACTGTGTCTCTAGCATTTCTGGTTTCTGCTGAGAAGCGATGCTTTTTAACAGCACTGCACGGCGATCCGCGCCCAGCAGCCAACGAATCCGCCGTGCACGCGCGGCGGGCCGGCAAAGGTCACATTAACGGAGCCTTGTCCTACATCAAAGGGTCATACAGATTGGTGTTAGTTTTTGTTTGAGTGCTCATGTAGGAGAGTCACCAAATAGCAGCCATTTCGACACGAATGGTGCGGCTGCTGTTACACACGCCGCAAAACACGTGCTGGTGGTGCTTGTAGCACCTTTGGTGTCCTGCCTTTCCCATTGATGTATCTTTGTGCATCCATGCTCAAATGGCAGTCAATGTCCGTGCTGCTGGGAACAGTCTGAAGACCTGATGCAGCAATGTCCGTGCTGCTGGGAACAGTCTGAAGAATTCCCGAACTGTCGGCGCTCAGTTTACGTACACACGGTGCCCAGAGACATAGTTTTACATAATGAGTTGAGGGGCTGTGCACTGAAAAATAACACGGCCTCCCCCCCTCCGCCGAAAACGACAACAAATGGGCTCTGTACGGATTTTGCGCACTTTCTTCTCAAAGTTGGAGGGGTGGGGGAGGTCTGGAGCCCAAATTGAGGGCTGAAGCCTCCGCTTTTCAACTGAGAAGCAACCTACGCTCTAAAATGGCCCAGTTCACTAAAAAACAGTAACTTTCCGTAGTATTCTCTGTCACTGGCAGCTGCTTCAAGCACTGTTTGCTCCAAAATAGAACTTGCATAAAATGCGTGCGTTTAAAAAGGTAGCAGCACGGTGCTGCAATGGCAGAGATGTTAAGCTTATTTGGTTAAAAAACACAACTTTCGGCACCACTTATCCAACGAATTTGCGACCAGCATAGTCTGTCTTTGAAATATTGGTGTCCATGGTCTTCATTCGCCCCTGGCGCCCATCTTGCAGCCCGACATCCAAACTATGTTTAAGATGGTAGTTCAGACGATTTTTTAGAAAACACCCAGGAGTATTCATGATAAATCAGTGCTATTTTTACCTGATGAATCTCGTTTGCTTTTTGCGCAACGAGTTCAAACAAAACGGATTTACACCCTCAGATTTCGAAATTCTGTGGCAGCTTTTCGTCGTTTTATGTCTCAACTGACCGTCGGAGCGCTCGCCCTTTTAAAAGTTTAAACATTTGTAAATGACACTCATAGGTACATAAAATGCGATAAAACATACCTGGTGATGAAAAGCACCAGAGATGAATTAATAAGATCCATGAATGAGGACGAGGTTCTGGTTGGAAAAGCTTTGGGGATGAAAGCTCAAGCTCACTCTAGATATTTGTAAGTTTCCCCACGGTAGTGACCTGTGTGGGACGCCTGCTGCGTCACAGTCTGGTTTCGACCGGCACAGCGCGCCGGTGTCCGCCCTGGTCCCCGCTGATCGCCAATCCGGCGTCCTACCCCGGTCCCCACTGATCGTCGATCCGGCGCCCCACCCCGGCACCGCGCTGATGGTCGATCCGGCGCTCCACCCCGGTCCCCGCTGATCGCTGATCCGGCGCCCCACCCCGGCACCACGCTGGTGGTCGATCCGGCGTCCCACTCTGGCCCGTGCTGACCGCCGGTCTAGCGCCCCACCCCGAGCCGTGCTGACCGCCGATCCAGCGCTCCACCCCGGCACCACGCTGACCGCACTGTTGCTGCCGCCAGCTGCTGACGCCGGGCACGCCGAGCGCGGCGGCCACGTCGTGCTGCGAGTCGGGCCGCCCCGTGGCCACGGACCCGGTGACGGGCCAGGCCGTCTGCTCGTGCCAGTACGAACCGGGCCGGGCGGCGGCTGCCGGCGGCTACCCTCGGCTCGGCGCGCCCTGCGCGCTGCCGTACGGCGCGGCCGGCGCCGACGCCGCGCCCTACCCCAGCATCGGAGTGGACTCGTCCTACTTCCCCGCGTTCGTGAGTAGCCTGTGATGTGAGCTGGCTGGTGACAGGCAGGGTCAGAAGCCCGCCCGTCCTCGTCGGGTGTCCAGCCGGGTACCGAACTGCGACTCGGTTCAGCCGCTCCCAAACTCTCCCCTGACTCGGTTCAGCCGCTCCCAAACTCTCCCCTGACTCGGTTCAGCCGCTCCCAAACTCTCCCCGCGTCTATCACGGTGAATTCTTTAGTACCCTACCGGTTTAATGCCAAGCGGTGCGCTGTACCACGAGAGAGCGGGGTGTTTTAAGAAAGAGGCTTCATAAGAGAATAAAGTGATATTAAGATGACTCGAACTGTGCCTTCATCCATAGAAAGTTTCATACGTATTTGGAAGAACACTTTTCGTTAAAAGCATATTTGCTTGCTGATGTGTCAAACTACTATAAGATTAGTTTGTCATTTTGTTACGAACATGAGGATGGATGGTTACAGAACTTATCGATTCGATGGTGTTCACCTTGCATCGCCCGTTGCTATAATCAGGATATGCCCACATGCTTCTGTGAATTCTAGTTCCTGAAATTTAAATGATGTTTTTGGTCTGTATGTTGTACTCTATTTTTCTGTCTTTTTTGCCAATAGGCCATCAATAAAAGTGACAGTTCACATGTATTCAATTTAATTAGCAGGCTTTCCGCCATGAATCGAGCACATACGTGTAGGCGGTCCATGCTCGCATTAAGCCGCCATCATGAAATCGGCGTCATAACAGGCACCGTAACCTTTCCTGGACCAAAACATCGTTGCCCTCAGGTGGTACCCACGAAGCAGCTTCTCATTTCAGCGAAAACCCCATTAGTTAGAACGTTAGACAGACCTCCCTACGTTCCATTTGGCACAGTTTCCGCTGGGCTATTTAGAGACTTCCTCTGTGCACACGGCGTGTCGTTTTACCGACGACCTGTTTAGCGGAGCGACTCTTAAGCCGTCACATTGGATTCCCAGCCAGAGTGGCATGCCAACTCTCGATGCCCCGGCAGGTCTGGAGACACATCCGCTGTTTTGACATAACACCTCCAGGTGACCCACTTTTTCCATTGGTCCACAGCTCAAGACCGTGCTATCGCTAATGTCGCTCTCTTTTTTTTTCTCTCTCTCTCTCTCTCTCTCTCTCTCTCTCTCTCTCTCTCTCTCTCTCTCTCTCTCTCTCTCTCTCTCTCTCTCTCTCTCTCTCTCTCTCTCTCCTCTCTCTCTCTCTCTCTTTCTCTCTCTCTTTCTTTCTCTCTCTCTTTCTTTCTTTTTTCTCTCTCTATCTCTCTCTTTCTCTCTCTTTTTCTCTCCCCCTCTCTCTCTCTTTCCATTATAGCTGGGTCGGATGTTTCCGAATAGCGTGTGTGTGCCGCAATTCTCTCGCCTGCAAGTGGAAACCTTCGAACAGATACCGCGAACTGTGTCTGACATCGTCCAATGGTCCATTTGCGCTCTGGTAAATGAACTGTGTCTGGCCGATTTCAAACCGACAGCTCGCGCCAGTCTCACAAACACGGAATTCCGAGGGGAGGGGCATGGGTCGTGTTGTGAGGCAGTGTTGTGAGCAGCGACTCCACGCCACGGTGCCTGGACGCCCTCTCTGGCTGTACTGGGCTCACCCGTCACGCATCGCGGCACTCCGGCGCTTTCTCTGGCTACAGTGGGCTCGTCCGTCACGTATCGGGATGCTCGAGCACCCTTTCTGGCTATAGTGGGCTCATCCGCCAAGCATCGGGACGGTTGGACGCCCTCTCTGGCTACATCAGTCACGAATCGGGACGCTCGGGCCATTTCTCTGGCTACAGTGGGCTCATTCGTCACGCATCGGGACGCTCGGACGCTCTTTCTGACTACAGTCGGCTCATTCATCACTTATAGGGACGCTCGGGCCATTTCTCTGGCTACAGTGGGCCCAATCGCCATGTAACAGAACGCTCGGACGCCCTCTCTGGCTACAGTGTGCTCATTCATCACTTACAGGGACGCTCGGGCCACTTCTCTGGCTACAGTGGGCTAAATCGTCATGTACCAGAACGCTCGGACGCCCTCTCTGGCTACAGTGGGCTCATCTGTCACTGCCTCGCTCGCGGCCTGCACCATTCACCTCTGTCGCGCCCTTCCCCAATCAAACTCTCTCTCGTCACGGCAGAACGGTGTGACATCGTGTGCCTGGGACGTGTGTGCTTTGCAAATGCTTTTTATTGCTGGTACATACATGTTTCGGATGCACCAGGCCTTACACCGGGCTGATCCCCCTATATTGTCATGCTTGAAAAACGATGATTTGTGGTCAAAGACCGCTTTGATCGATTTGTGACCTCAGCATTGCTGCTTACGAAGCTGGAAAGTCGCTCATGATGACATTTTAAGAGACGTTTGCCTACATTTATGCATCTTAACATATCTGCAATGCCCTATGGTGTGAACGTATATATATATATATATATATATATATATATATATATATATTACGTATGCACAAACTGATCCCATTCTACGTACACAAACTTAAGAAAGCTAGATACAACAAAATCACCTGGTAGCTTCCACGCGACGCAACCTTTCGCGTGAGTTTGTATTCATCTATGTTTGACAGTTTACATAAGTTTGAGTTCTTGAAAAGTGTATCTTATTTCTGTTTTTTGCGCCATAAGATCAGCCATTCCATTCTTTACGGCTCTACAAGTGCGTTGTACGGGCGACAGCATTCCAAGGGAGTGTGCCACGTTTAAACCATACGCCATTTTGACAGTTTGTCTACACCCAACCATTCGCAGACGTTCTACAATGCTGCGCCAACCATGGCCGGCAGCTCCTTGTGACAATGACCTAAAAATATTATTGTAACCACATCGCTCGTGTCAGGACTGAAGGTCGCTTTAATACACGGCTGCTTTGCGCGCAACTAGGCAAGCTTGTCACTGGTTGGTAAGCTGTTGCTGGAAGTTGGCCAATGGCTATCGGCGATGCACAGCGTGCAGTGCGCAGTCGCGGCGATGGCAGACGCCGGCGTGATGCCGCCCCGACAGCACAACACGTGTCAACAAACTATCAGCTGACTCAGTTCACACGAAACGACGTACTGTGTTCTGCACACAGCTGTTTTCTCGTGATTTTGCCTGCAACAGGTATGACTTGACATTTGCGTGTCATTGACGTCAAATTTGGGCGCATTTGGGCAGGTCTTGTTCTTTTTGCGGTAGCATGCTGTGCACTGGTGCTTTAGGCTAAACGCATTGATACATGTCAGTGACTGGTTTAATGAGGGCAATTGTTGGGAGCTTATGAAACAAAGTTACAATTTTTTCTCTATTTACATTTCAGTAGCCGATGTGTTCGCAAAACTCCCAAAAATCATAATCATCTCTTTAATGACACCGTGTGATCACATGGACCGCACGCTACTAGCTGGCGAATTCAACCTAATGCATTAATGGCTTACAAGCGAACGCATTACGAAGAAGTGTGCTGCTCGTCATGAAAGAAGCAGAACCACAAACCAAAACATGCATGTACTGCCACATATTTGTTCAAGGACATACGAAAATTCCACCCCCGCGCGGTGTCGTATTTCAAGCTGGCAAGAAAAAGTCAAAAGATCGTAACGATACTGAGCACTGTGAACAAATTTTGATCAGTCACTCTTTAAGTCCGATTAAGTGTGGGTTTCTGGTTTGGCTCCCACTGGTCCTGATTTGTGACTAGGCTGTGACTAAGTCCTGATCTGACACAAATTTGGCCATGAATCATGAACCATGTTAGTAAGGTAAACATGGGCAGAGGGATGTGTCTAAGAGTGTGGAGTGGGGCAGGGCGTGCCGAAATGTTGGTTTCTCTGGTGCCTTAGCCCTCGCCCTGATAATGCAAGTCGATGCGACCTCCTAAGATTTCTTGAAGACGGCTTTTTGAGAAATAGTGCAGTCGCGCCCGGATTTTCGGTAGTCTATGGGGCACCTATTGCGCGTGTTTTTCGGCACCAAAAATGCGTTTCTTGGTGTGGTTTCGGAGCAGGGGCGATTTTTGAGGAACACTGCACGGTGATCTATGGCCGGCTGACTGGGGGGGAAGGCAGAGGGAAGGGCGGCAAACGGCGATGCTGCGGAACGTGCGGCGGGACGACATTGTGATATTAACGAAGTCACCCATTGTAGACATATGGTCAAAACACGTAAAGCTACACTTTTTGGGCTGTATGCTTTTAACTATATAAAACTATATACTTTTATTCCCACAGCTAAACAAGGAACACGTTTATTTAGGTTTCCTGTTGCCATGAGGCATGACATTGTACGCATGATGCTATAGATCTGGAAAGATGCGATTTCAAACACTCGTGATCTCGCTCCATGCAGACAGTTCGTGGAGTTCGTTAGGTGCATATGTACTGTTTTCACATTAAAATGATCAGTAACTCAAACTGTATGATACGCAAACGTCGTTAAGACAAGCGAAGACGTGCAAGAGACGCGTTACATGCATGCATTTGTGTTAGGAGGGAAAGAGAATCTGTCGCAATGGTCTTATTTTAAACATCAGTGCTGTCCTCCACTCCGCTGTCTCCGTCTTGATCTGTACTGTAATCTCTAGAACCTATCGTGTGTACCTAGAACCTATATTATGCCACAAACTCCTTAACTCACTCAGCCCTTAGCTCTCTTAGTCCTTAGTCCTCCACTCGCTCTGTCTTCCTGTTGCCTCCCGCCCTGTTCTACCATCTGCTCCCCTGGCCTACGCTATGATCTCCTGCCCTGTCCCAACCTGCTGTCTCCCGTCCTGCGCTCTTCTACCCTGTGCGTTTCCACCCTGCCCCAGCTACTGATCTGTCCTGGCCTGCTCTGTACTGTTCTGTTGCCTCCTGCTCCCCGGTCCCGTCTTCTGACCTGTTATGGCATGCTCGGTTGTAGAACACCCTCTGTGGAGGCTTGGAAGGGCCGTAGAACTTACCCCTTTCGTGAGTGCACTGCCGCCACGCTATTTGCCCTGATAAGGGGGGGGGGGAGGGGTACTGCGCTCTGCCTCCCCAAATCCTTCCTCCGCGTCCCGTTTTACTTAGGTGTCTACAGTACCCAGGTGCACCACCCATGTACCTAGGTGCACTACTTCCGTGCTCAACGTGCGTAATTATTTTGTGCACCAATCCTGAGAATACAGATTCTGAGGACGTGGGTAAAAAACTTCTGCACTTTGGTAGCATTTCAGCGCATTTTTGCCCGCGGTGAAAGTTCCAGATGTACTATAGTAAATACACTGTTCTGCCAGAACATGCACTGTTTCCATGCCACCGCCGCATTTGTGATATCATGCAGTAAATCGTGCCTTCTTGCTTTGTAGAATGAAATGCCATGATAGCACCCATTGGACGCGATGTGCAGAACTTTCAAAAAACCTGGCAATTTGCAAACGCTTTTCAAACACAATTTTCACTGCATGGGATGGGCCACCTTAGACACATTCGAGAATGCTGAATTTCGTGGCGCGGCGTAACACAAGGAGCACAAATAGAAACTATCAGCCCTCTGTGATTTTTTTCCTGTTTAATGACGACAGTCTAGTAAGCTTTATTGTCAACTGTGACATTAGACTAGATAACGAGGTGAGGTTTCATCGTTAATAAGCCCACGGATTTTCCCCGTCTTCAAAAATGTCATTGTTCATGAGTCTCTTCCAAATTCCAACTAACGTAGCAGCCCGTTGCAGTGCGGCATGGGAGTTTCCAAACCTCAAAAATCGGTAGTCGACCTGCAGCATTGCCTCATCAGCGCCGGAAATAGTTTCAGCGTGCGCCGCCCCCGAACATCCTGCACTGCAGGACGAACAGACCCGGCGCTTGGGGTCTGGTTTAGATAGCCGGCGCGGGAAGCTAGCGTACCGTCACCCTTTGTAAGTTATGCAACGTGCATCGTTCATGGCTGCTCTTCAACGCTTCGTAAAATCGAATGGTGTTTCAACAGTTGCTCTCGTTAGTCCCACGGTTCATAAGCGTTTGAAACGGGGTGACTACGTGTCCGTCACATTTTGGCCGGGGCAAGCATGCAATATTTCCATTCATCAGTGGCCTAGAATGAGTTTCTGTCTGAAGCGCATATGCATCACATTTTAGTGTTTATGTAATATCTGAAAATAGTGCTTAAAAGAGTGCCTAAAATAGTGCGCAGTTACAGTGCTAGAGTTTCCTGCCGTTCATCACCTTCCTACTACCTATGAGTCCGTCCTTGTTGGCTCTCTACACGGAATTTTCATCCTTTCTTTCGCCAACTCTATCTCTCTCATTATATTCCTCACCATTTTTCTCAAAATCCACTGTCGAGATCTACCTTTACAACAGTGGCATGTTTGTCCCAGAACATTTTTTGATTGCTAAAATGTGTTATAACCATACGTTATAACCCCGGTGCCATATTCAGGGGGAATCCAGGCATGGTTCGAAATACCCAACCCTCCTCTTCCGCAAATATAGACTCTGTTCCGTTCTGCCCGACCTCTTTCCTGCCTCCCACGTTTCACAACTTTCCTTTGCCTTGTCCCCGCCTCTCTCTCTCTCTCTCTCTCTCTCTCTCTCTCTCTCTCCTCTCTCTCTCTCTCTCTCTCTCTCTCTCTCTCTCTCTCTCTCTCTCTCTCTCCCTTCTCTTCTCCCTCTCTCTCTCTCTCCCTCTCTCTCTCTCTCCCCTCTCTTCTCCCTCTCTCCCTCTCTCTCTCCTCTTCTCTCTCCCTCTCTCTCTCTCCCTCTCTCTCCTCTCCCTCTCTCTCTCTCTATCTCTCTCTCTCTCTCTCTTCTCTCTCTCTCTCTCTCTCTCTCTCTCTCTCTCTCTCTCTCTCTCTCTCTCTCTCTCTCTCTCTCTCTCTCTCTCGCGCGCGCGCGCTTTTTCTCACCGTCTGTCGTCCCACCCCCGGTCGTTCAGGCGACCGTTCCTGTAGTCAGCATCCGCCGATTACTCGGCGGCGCTCGCTCCGGGCCCAAACCCGTCCTCATTGTCTCGGAGCCCACCCGGGTGGCCTCCAGCGCCATTCCAAGATGTCGCCACCCCCACCCACGCCGCCGCCGGGTGAGGCACCCTCTCCCGCCAGCCATCCGGACGCGGTGCCACCCGGTCCCGAGCCTGCCCGGACACGCCGTCGTCGGAAGCCGTACGCAGTGATTTATGTCCGCCTCTCAGAATGCAGTCTGTTGTGGAACAATACGCGGCGCAGATTGATGTCACGGAACCGGTGAGCCAGCGCGGCGGGCTGGCGTTCGGGCGGGCTGACAGCGGGCCTGCCTCACTGGAGCACCAGCGCCAGCTCCACGATACCAGGGTCGCAACATCAGCGCCGGCACGGCGAGCACCAGCACCGACACGGCGAGCACCAGCTCCACGATACCAGGACCGCAGCATCAGCGCCGGCACGGCGAGCACCAGCTCCACGACACCAGGGCCGCAACACCAGCACCGACACGGCGAGCACCAGCTCCACGACACCAGGGCCGCAGCATCAGCGCCGGCACGGCGAGCACCAGCTCCACGATACCAGGACCGCAGCATCAGCGCCGGCACGGCGAGCACCAGCTCCACGATACCAGGGCCGCAGCACCAGCACCGACACGGCGAGCACCAGCTCCACGACACCAGGACCGCAGCATCAGCGCCGGCACGGCGAGCACCAGCTCCACGATACCAGGGCTGCAGCACCAGCACCGACACGACAAATACCAGTACGACACCAGGACTGCTGCAACAATGCCAGCCCAGCCATAGCAGCCCTGACACGGCAGCACCAGCTCCAGCGCCATGATTACCAGCACCACCAGAGCGCCAAGGGCCGCAGCACCAGCACGGCAACGTCAGCCCCAGCGCCTCGACAGCAACCGCGGAGCGACTGCACCACACCGAGGTCGTCGCTGACGGCTGGCTTTTGACAGCTATCGGCAGAATGCAAATAAAACTAATGGTAATGGACCATAAAATGCCGAGGCTGATCAACAGGGCGATTAAGCCAATTAAGGGATCAGTGCTGCGAAGGGCCGTGGCACAAAAACACACACAGACAGTCGCTGTCTGTCCTCCCCTGGATCCCAGTTATCGCGTGAATAAATACGACTAGGTGTTGATAGCAGCACTTAGCGTGTCAGCAGGGGAGGAGGAGCGGAATTAAAGCGTCGGGGCTGTGAAACTGGGAACGCTGATGCTGCGGAGATCAACTCAAAGTGGCAACGTTGCTGCAGATGAGGAGGTCGGGAGCAACATGGGCCGCTGCGTTAACACGCATCAATTATAGTTATACTCGGCGATCGGGGAGCACACCAAGAAGCCTGCCTTTGATAACGCACTTAGCTTTAAACCGCGTCGAAGAGCACTCCAAGGGAAGCAGTGCTTGTAATCGCCAAAGACATTGGAAGCCCAGCCTCACAGTCGTCATGTTTGCTTCTTTCGCCCCGCAAATATGCCTTGCTGACAGCAGGGCGACAGACACACAGGCGCCAAGATGATGCCTCTTCGTGCACGTCTCAAGTTCCCTGTAGTCACACAACATCCTGCGCCCATGGGCTCAGATATGCTTGAACTGAATGCCGAGGAGGAGGGGCGGGGGGGGGGGGCAGAGGCAGACCATTTCCTGTTCTGCCTGTCCTGCGAGGTAACCGGGGCATCAGCAGACTGGTCTCGGTGAGGCGTTGGACCGGGCGCCGCTCATGCAGCTGTCATCAGTGACATCCGTACCTCCGGCAGGGTAACCCGTACGGGCTGAAGGAGTCCGGCACGGGCGACATGCCGGTGTACAGCAGCATCGGCTCCAGCCCCGGATACGCCTACAACCCGTACGACCCTTCCCTGTACGGGTAAGTCGGCTTCAGTCTTCAAACCTCGTCCGCTTGTCTGGAGGGAAGTGGCTCCAGGGAGAGGGCGGAGGCTGTGACCCAGCGATGATGGATAGATTTTCAGGGAGGAGTGGGGCTGAGGTCGCGACCAGGTCATGTCAGCATAGTGTTCCAAGGTCATGACCCTGAGCCCCAGGTAGGGTCGCTCAGAAGCTTCTCCGGTCGGCGAAGGCAAACGCGACCGTCGCTTGCTGGTTTGACTCGGTGGCCTTGAGCCCGCCTAGGAGCCCAGGTGATGTTAAGACTCGGTGCTCGTCGGTCCCCTCGGGAGCACGGCGGAGAGGCTGATGGTGGAGGTGCTGAGGTCGGGAGTTGGCCTGTTTCGGCCTGGGACGACGTGGGGTGCGGTAGTCCTGTCTTCGTTGTCTGGGTACCTAGTGCACCAGCAGTTCGGACACCTTCAGGACTTCCCAGGGCGCCTCTTGGACAATATGGGGCCTCCTCACAAGGTCGCCTCCAAGGGCAGTGTCGTATTCAAGAGAAGGCGCACAGAGGGCAGGTGGCCCTTATCAAACTGTTACATGTATGGTATCCAAGCAGCATCCACAATGGGGGGCCTTCTGATGATGAAGCAAGGGGTCTCACTTTCCTAAAACAGGGCCTCCTGTTCCAGAAAAGGGGGCCTTCTGATTCAGAGCGGAGGGCCTCCGATTCACGAAGGGGCCTACAAGTTCACGAAGGGGCCTACAAATTCACGAAAGGGCCTGCAAATCTAGCCAAGCGACCGCAGTATCGCAGCACCCTGATATGGTATCGCGACCTTCTGATGTGCGGTTTCCTGTCCCAAATATGGGGCCTCCTGAACATAGAGGATGACTCCTTATGCAGAACAGGGCCTCCTAGCTTGTAACGGGGGCCCCCCGAGACAGTCAGCAGAAGGCCACCTCAACGTGACATTTGGATCTACTAATCTAGAGCATTGACCTGATCCATCAAGATAGCCTCATGATCAGAGAACGGGTCTCTTGAAGTAGAACAGGTCTTCTGACCACGATTTGTTACACTTTGTTACACTCTAGCTCAACTGTGGGGACCTCCCTGGCCTGAATTTTGGAGTCTGGCCTGAGTTTTGGCAAAACATCGTCTTCAAAAAAGGAGCAAATGGATGTACCTATGAGGCTAGTGGGTTGGGACGAACCGTGCCGGTGCAGCAAAAGTTAACCTTTTGCCACAGGATTCTGTCATCGAGCCTGAATTAAAAGATAGGATGGTGCAAGGGTCAGGATGCACACAATCTCAGCCGAGCGTGGGTTCTGATCTCATGGGGCAGGCAAAGGGGGGGGGGATCACGTACCCCTTTAGATCCCAGGGGTCAAGGAGTCCGTGGGACCGATGATTAATGATCTGGGCTAGGTTTTCAAGCTCTACGAGAATTGTAGGATCATACCGTTTTGTGTTTTGGACGTGAGATGAAATAATCCGTCGATTTGCGTTGCTGGTCGTGCTGTACAGTTTAGAGAAGATATTGCATACAGATGGTTTTGTGTGGAAGGGAGGTCCAAGGGTAAGCATCCACCCTTTGTCGACGACTGCAAAATGAAGTCGCTGAGATGCGAGGAGAAATACAAATTTGGGGCAGATAAGGTCGTTTTTGCCGATGTCATTGACCTTGCTAGTAAAAGTCTGGAAACTCTAGGGCTCCTAGGAGGAATGGCTAGCGATAAAGAATCCAAATGGGTCATGCATTTTGACATAAGGTCACAATATGCAGTAGCACCTTGCCTTCTGCAGGTGCATGACGTGATCACAAGTGACAAATGAGGTTCAAACGTAGCCGGTAACTCCCCCGCCCCCGAACATAAACCTGCATGTACGTACATCCCAACCCTATGGACATATGGATTACAATGCTTTTCCTCGCTCCTTTGCTGCCATGTTTTTCAACTCGTTCAACGATGCGGACCACTTGAAGTATCAGGGATCATGCCGACAACACGTCGTCCTTCCGCAGTCTCATGGCACCAGAAGTAGCGCCCACGACGCTCAGCAAACCATGCTGAGCACGTAACGCTCCACAATCAATGTAGAACGCTTAATCACCGCATTTGAGTGGTATAGTAGCCAGCGCCACAGCCAGGACCACCATCATAGGACAGTCTTATCAGCCGAGGACTACAGCAGCATCGTACATCTCAAGGCCGCCTGGGCACGCTACCGATAACTACCCATGCATCTCCAGTAGAGCCTGGCCACGCATCTACTACTCATGTAAGATCTCTCAGCGGTAGTCAGACACTAGTGAACTCGGGGTAGGCAGGTGGAATGGTGGTAAGAGGGCAGCAAACTCGTTTCAGTGAGGTCGATGGTCGGCTCAATGACAGACGGAATCAGCGCTATGAGTCAGAGCGACACACCGCAAATGGAGGTGCACGAGCAGTTCTATTAATGACCGGCTTTAGTGCCGGAGACAGGATGTGAGCCGGAGGGGGGGGGGAGGGGGACTCGCCTCTGGCCTCGAGAGCCAAGCTTATCACAGCGAGCACGTCTGTTTTGCGCGTGATCGATCCCTTTTCCTTTCGGCGGTCGCGGTTCGGATACAAACAGGTCGCAGAATGACGACCGGCGGCCAACATACACCCAATAAATTTTCCCATTTTGTAATACCCTGGTCACAATGGGCCGCGGTGTACATCACGACAAAGTCGCCGTTGATTTCGGTTAACTTTCGAGGATAATGGACTTAAATTGCCCAATCTGATTGGTGATCAGCCAGTGATTTCCAGCCATGCCGCTTGTAAATAACCACGCGAATACTACAGCGGTGAACCCCCGCCCGTCAACCTCTATCCTATAAAATGTCAATGATCATCCAATGCCGAGGATGCCGATCAAACCCGATCAAACCCATCTATATAAATCGTGAAACCTGTGTGGCTCCATCAGTTTAGTCTCGGCGTCATCTCCATGATGCCGCGTGATAGTTTTCACGTCTGTTATGGCCTGCCCGCCACGCACCGCCCGATACTTCTGATTGGTTGTAGTTCCTGACGCGCCTTTTCAGTCCAGTATCGATATCCGGTCCAGAACCCGGTCCAGATTTCGGCTACCCGAGTCCAGTGGCCGGTGCAGCAGTCCTCCTGCCATTCCAAGATGGCGGAGGCGAGCACGCTCCATCGGCCCTGAAGTGGGGCCGAGTAATACAACGTACAAGCTAGCAGGGACGGCGTAACAAGGGGTTTAAGGGGGCAGTTGCCGCCTGTCTGCCTGCAGGGGGCAAGAGTATGCTTTTGTCTTCCCCTCAAAAATTGGCGGGTCGTTTGCCGGGTTTTCCTCAGCTAAAGGCATTGTAGCTACATATGGAGCTCCGAAGTTCAAATCAAGTAGGCCCTCATAAATGAGCCAGACAGTAATACATCGGGCTCAGAACACCCTTTGCTACCACGACAGACCCGTTTTCTGGGTCCTGAGGTCACCTGTACGGATAAAGTAGGCAATGCGCTAGAGCAGGAGGCCCAATGTTGCGTTAAGGAGGTCCCGTTCCTGGCTCTGGAGGCCCCGTTACAAGCTAGGAGGCCCCCGTTCTGGTTTGGGAGGCACCCCCTGTATTCAGGATGCCTCATTTCTGGAACAGGAGGCCCCTTTCATCCGTCACGTGGCCATGGTTTTCGATGCCCTGTTTTGAAGTAACGAGACCCCTATCTAAATTTGGAGGCTCCTTCGTGCATTGTAAGTAATCTGTTCTGGATTAGGAGGCCCCTCTTTGCATCAGGATGCCATTTGCTGAAACAGGAAGTCCTGTTTTAGGTTAGCGAGACCCTTTCCTGGATATTTAGAAGGTCCCCATTCTAGATTTTTAACCACCGATATCTATTTGATTGGATATGATGCACGTAACAGTTCGGTCATGGGCTCATGCTCTCGGTACCGCTCTCTCTCTCTAAAATGGAACACTGCCCAGCAGACTCGCCCTTTAAGAAGGCCCCATTTTACCCAGGAGGCCCTTGGGAAATCCTGTCCCCGACCCAAAACCCGTAACGCCGTCCCTGAAGGCTAAAGCCGCAGTTAGTTCATCTTATCCACCTCACACATCAGCCGCACCATTAAGACTGTCAGTGCCTACTGATTGGACTGATGTACTTCTGTAAATAGGGTGATCACTCCAGCAGCTAACATTGTGTTTTTTTCAGACTTGATCAGTGTAAGTCCGTGATTTGTCTTTTGATGGGTCCGGTAATGTTCCAATACTTTTCATTCCTGGTATTGTCACTGCTGGTCTCCTGGTCTGGTCTCCTGGTCTCCTGGTCTGCCGGTGCGCGGCTGGCCCGTATCTGGGGCTGCTGGCTTCCAAGGATCCCATTGCTCTTAACAGGACATAGTATTAAACACCGCCGCGACAACGGGTCGGTACTGCTCAAAATTTGGTGTGTTCAAATATTGTTGACAGCTGTTCGATGCGACAGTTGCCGGGAAAGGGCACTATCTTTGATAAAATCGAAATATCCAGGAAGGGTAATTCCACTACGCGCTGTGATGCGTGTTTGTTACCAAGTCCGATGCGCATGTGTCTAACCTTACAAAAAATGAGGTTTAAGAAAATGAACGCAACGTTGATCTTTTCATACATGTCCGACCGTGAGGTGGCCTTAGAAAGTGAATTAGCTTTCCACAGCATTGCTAAGATGTTCCTGTCTGAAACACCGAGACCCCTTAGCTAAATTTGGAGGCTCCTTCGCAAATCGTAAGTAAGCTGTGCTGGGTTAGCAGGCCCCCTCTATGCATTGGGACGCCATTTTCTGGAACAGGAGGCCATGTTTTAGGTCAGTCATGGGTCTGGTAACTCGTGAGCCTTCCGGCTTGACCGCCGCCGTCGGAGGAGCGTCACCAGGGTGTGTTGACTCGAGTCTGCCGGCTGGACTTCCGTCGTTGGGAGGGGCATCACCAGCGTGTGCTGACTCCAGTCCGCCGGCGTGACTGACGCCTTCAGGAGCGTCACCAGAGTGTGCTGACTCGAGTCCGCCGGC